ATCAAATATAACAATTCAAGTGTCAGACAACAAAGCTATAGAATAAATCCACCCTGTGATTAAAAAAAAAGAATTAACCACTCAAATAACTAAACATAAGAACTAACCACTCAAGTAAATAAATATAAAAATTAACCACTCAAGTAATCAACATAAGAACTAATCACTCAAGTCACTAAACATAACAATTTACCCTTCAGGTAAATAAACATATGAATTAACCACACAAGTAACTAACATAAGAAGTAACCAATCAAATAACTAAACATAAAAATTAACCACTCAAGTAACTAACATAAGAATTAACCACTCAAGTAACTAACATGAATTAACCACTCAAGTAACTAACATAAGAATTAACCACTCAAGTAACTAACATAAGAAGTAACCGATCAAATAACTAAACTTACAAATTAACCACTCAAGGAACTAACATAAGAATTAACCTCTCAAGTAACTAACATAAGAATTAACCACCCAAGTAACTAAACATACAAATTACCCACTCAAATAACTAACATAAGAAGTAACCAATCAAGTAACTAAAATACAAATTAACCACTCAAGTAGGTAAATATAAGAAGTAACCACTCAAATAACTAAACATAAGAATTTACCATTCAAGTAACTTTACATAAGAATCAACCAAAATACAAGAAAAAACTCAACAGGTAAATCTGTTCAAAAAAAAAAAAAACAGCAACATCTCAAAGCAAAGCATTCTCTGATTAAACAGCAGACTTTCATTTTAAACATAACAAAGCTTGAATCAAATCAAAATGTTTTACTTTCAACACAGCCAGTTTTTTGCGACAAATCTACAACATTATAAGAAACATTATTAATTGAAAAACATGTTCACAAAAGAGAACCAAACATTCAGGGACAAAGCAGAGTGAGTAGATAAGGACTATACACATAAATACACATGCAACAAAAAAACAAAACAAAAAAAGACTACCAAAAAATTCCCTGTCGGGGTTCTGGGGCTAAATTTGGAGGGAACAACAGACCTACTACCCCCAAACCAGCATATCATTAAAAATGTGAATAATTATAGGTGGTTTCTTTTTAAGTCAGGGGGTGCATCTGTCTGATAGGTGATGAGCCAATAGTCACACACATTTGTCAGATCCGTAAAACAGATATGCACCCAAAACTCAAGAACTGGAACAAGATCAAAGTTCAGAAGCCGATGAACAACCAAATGTTTCTACTAGAGTTTACAGCTGGTGAGAACTAAGAGAAAAAGAGAAGAAGGACTAACACACATTTTTTGCATCATCTAAATCCTAGAAAGTGAGCACGACTGAAAAAAATAGTGCACTGGTGGTACTTTTATTGACTAATACACCTGAAAAAATAGTGCACCGATGGTACTTTTATTGACTAATACACCTGAAAAAATAGTGCACTGTTGGTACTTTTATTGACTGATACACCTTACAAAATAGTGCATTGATGGTACTTTTATTGACTAATACACCTGAAAAAATAGTGCACTGTTGGTACTTTTATTGACTGATACACCTGACAAAATAGTGCATTGATGGTACTTTTATTGACTAATACACCTGATAAAATAGTGCACTGTTGGTACTTTTATTGACTGATACACCTGACAAAATAGTGCATTGATGGTACTTTTATTGACTGATACACCTGAAAAAATAGTGCACTGTTGGTACTTTTATTGACTGATACACCTGACAAAATAGTGCATTGATGGTACTTTTATTGACTAATACACCTGAAAAAATAGTGCACTGTTGTACTTTTATTGACTGATACACCTGACAAAATAGTGCACTGATGGTACTTTTATTGACTAATACACCTGAAAAAATAGTGCACTGATGGTACTTTTATTGACTGATACACCTGACAAAATAGTGCACTGATGGTACTTTTATTGTCTAATACACCTGAAAAAATAGTGCACTGTTGGTACTTTTATTGACTGATACACCTTACAAAATAGTGCATTCATGGTACTTTTATTGACTAATACACCTGAAAAAATAGTGCACTGTTGGTACTTTTATTGACTGATACACCTGACAAAATAGTGCATTGATGGTACTTTTATTGACTAATACACCTGAAAAAATAGTGCACTGTTGGTACTTTTATTGACTGATACACCTGACAAAATAGTGCATTGATGGTACTTTTATTGACTAATACACCTGAAAAAATAGTGCACTGTTGGTACTTTTATTGACTGATACACCTGACAAAATAGTGCATTGATGGTACTTTTATTGACTGATACACCTGAAAAAATAGTGCACTGTTGGTACTTTTATTGACTGATACACCTGACAAAATAGTGCATTGATGGTACTTTTATTGACTAATACACCTGAAAAAATAGTGCACTGTTGGTACTTTTATTGACTGATACACCTGACAAAATAGTGCACTGATGGTACTTTTATTGACTAATACACCTGAAAAAATAGTGCACTGATGGTACTTTTATTGACTAATACACCTGAAAAAATAGTACACTGATGGTACTTTTACTGACTAATACACTTGAAAAAATAGTGCACTGTTGGTACTTTTATTGACTGATACACCTGACAAAATAGTGAACTGATGGTACTTTTATTGACTGATACACCTGACAAAATAGTGCACTGATGGTACTTTTATTGACTGATACACCTGATAAAATAGTGCACTGATGGTACTTTTATTGACTGATACACCTGACAAAATAGTGCACTGATGGTACTTTTATTGACTAATACACCTGGAAAAAATAGTGCACTGATGGTACTTTTATTGACTAATACACCTGAAAAAATAGCAGATTAAAAATTTCCCCATGTTGGTTCCAGCCCCCATTTGGACAAGGGATGGGCGGGGGTGGGGGGTGGGGGGAATACAGGATGTTGCATATCCTTTTCAGGATGTTGCATGTTTGTGATTTCACTAAGTTATTTTATTATGTTCAGCAGTTTGCTACTGCTGTCTAAACAGTCGGTTCTCAATACCATTGTTGAAAACCACTGCAAGGTGGTCTGCTATCAAACTGCCTGCAGCTGGGATCAAAGCCAGAACCCTGGAATTACGAAGCGTGGTCGTAATGCCTGAGCCACAAATGCCGATGCAACCCGTTATGATTTTCTAATATTTATAAATTATAATAAGTTGTCAAGTATGACAATCAAAAAGTATGGGATTCATGGCAGATCTGAAAAATAAAATTGGTCAGCAAGTCGGCTAATTAGGAACCAGTGCCCTACAACAATTTACCATCTGGTAACGACTTCTCCAAATCTGAGAATCTGAACCTAGGCCACTATGGAGGATACGTTGTTCTAAAGTCAGATATGCTACTCTGGCCAAAAAATGGGGGGGGGGGGGGGGGGAATAAAATCTTCTTACCTCCAAAACATAACTCTGATTTTGCTGCCAGTGCGGCCGCAATGTAACGCTTGCTGCACGGAGAAAAGTTCTGTCAATATAATATAGAATTAACACTGATTAGGAATAGTATGCAAAGCAAGTATGGGACTCTTTTTTTTTAATGCTAGTGATGCCATAGGATGCTAGAGTAATTTTTTTTTAAAGGCAAACTGGCACTTGGTCAGTGAGGTGGTCAACATAATGACGAATGTCTTTACTTCTTACATCACCAGGTACCCATTTTAGGAAATGCACAAACAACCAGAACTTTTCACTGGAGTTTACAGTCAGCTGAAAAAAAAAAAAGATAGGAAGGGCAGTTTAATTCTTTCCTTAAGGTGCACAGAGTGCCACAGTCGTGTAGCGGCTAGATGCTCGCCTACAGATTGGAAGGTTGCGGGTTCTGGTCTTAACAGAGCCTGACTTTTTTTCAAAAATGATCTTGGCTCTCAGGTGTCGACCCAGCCTTGAGTAGGTACCAGGACCATGTACAGTCCTGGGAAGTAGAGACGGCCGGCGTGATGCTGACCACATCACCCACCCAGTGCCCACTGATCTATAAAATACAGGTGTAGCCCTATATGCCCAATACATCTGAAGGCGTAGAAAGTCTCCTTTACTTTTTACTTTACTTTAAGGAGCACAAATAAACAGATAATTCTATCAACACACTGCCCTAGACATGAGAGAGTCTGTGCCTTTGGGAGTACAGGTTAGATGGTTTCTAAAGCCGCTCCTACACTGGACATTTTTTAAAATGGATCAATCGTCAAGTATAATCGACAGACTTATATGTAATGTTGGCTTTTTTTCCTCTTTCTGCCTAACAGTGACAAACTGTTATAAGCAGCCACTAAAATCACAGCCCACGGTGGAGGCAAACGTGACCAGCCCACTTTAAGCCAATTCTTCCACAATAAGGGTTTGGGTTTTCAGGGCCATTGCTGCCATCACATGCTGGTGTGTCTCTATTGAAGCTCTCAGCTCTTAAACCATCTGCAATCATTTTATTCTTGGTCCTTGTTTCCCTCCTGAACTTTTTTCTCTCATGAATCCATCTCAATACCTCCATTAATGCTTGCATGATCTAAACACATACATGCAGGCCTCAATATTGCAGACTGGAAAGGCAATCACTGCCCATGTGCAAAGGCATACAAAAATAGTCAAAGGTGCTACAGACATGCACTCTGCATGCAGTTGTAGATTCCAGTTCTGGCCACTTGGAAACCAAGCTGCATGGTTTGGGTTATTCAAATGGCAGTCCACAGGCCAAATTCAGCCCACAGAGGTCTAGCAAGTGGAACCAGATCATTGGTCAATTGCATTATACTCTATGCTGGGGCTCGAGCCTCTGGCTTGCGATGATCCACATTTGCAACATTCTGGTCCCTGAGTGAACTCACTCGAGTGGCCCTGCTGTATGGTTAAGTGAAGGACAATACATTGTACCATGGCCTTCAAACAGGCCTCACAGCCTTCTCATCTGAAAACCACTGGCAGAGAGAATGAAAAATAAGATGAAGAAGAGGATGCCTGCAAAGGAAACAACAGATGAAGAAGCAGATGAACATACTTACATCGTTATTCTCATCGTAACCACTGACAGCGTAAGGGTACATGATGAACCTGCCATTGTTGAAAGCATCAGGAGCACACTCGTCTGTTTCTGCGTCATGTTCTGCACCCCAGTTGTGACCTAGATATGAAATAGGTACCACTGACTCACCAAATAAGGAGACTTTTTGGTGCTTTCCTTATATCACCCCCCCCCCCCCCCCCAGGATGACGTCTCAGGACAGTCCAATATTTGTGAGGGTGGTAAAAGCGGGTTTCCAGGCTTTCTTATGCTATTAACTACCCCAAAACAACTAGAACTGGGCCTAACCCCAACCCACCTACGTCCCACGAGAGAATGCAGCCTAGGTCCCACGACTGTATGCAGCCTATCTACCACCCCCTAAAATATACATACACGCAGATGCATGCCCACATACATAATACACGCAGATGCATGCCCACATACATAACATACATACATACAGATGCATATGCACAGATGCATGCCCACATACATAACATACATACACGCAGATGCATATGCACAGATGCATGCCCACATACATACCCACATACATAACATACATACACGCAGATGCATATGCACAGATGCATGCCCACATACATAACATACATACACGCAGATGCATACCCAAATACATACACGCACATGCATGGCCATATACACAGACATACGCATGTCCACATACATACACACACACACATGTCCACATACATTAACACACATGCATGTCCACATACACACACATACACACACACACAAATGCATGTGTAGATAGACAGAGATAAAATACACACAAAGGAGTCTATTATAAAGCATCTCAGAAAAAGCCATTCAGCATTATCTGACTTTTGCAAATTATAAATTTGCAATCTGTAATATTTACAAGAGAAATTTTGAAAATATTCAACAACAACAACAAACAAAACAAAAAACACAGCTAGTATCTTATGTCTGGTTTACTTACCGAATTCTTCAATGATGAAAGACATCACATGAAACAGGTACAATCATTATACATTAACAAAAAAGTTACAATGTGACAACAATTTTAATTTTTATCTTTCTCTTTCTTTCTTTAGATCCTTCAGCATTTTTGAAACTCATCATCTATTTTTTTCTAATTTTAATAATTTAACTATAATTTTTTTTTTTTAAATATTAGGTTGGACATAGTGAGGAGCAGACTGAGAAATATACAGCCAGGTAGACAGACAGTGGAAGAGATAGGCAGACAGAAAGAATGAAAAAATGGCAGTTTTGACGATAAGGGTGAGTGAGACAGAATGAGAACAGACAAAGAAACAGACTGACTGAGAGACAGGTAGACACAAAAGGATGCAGAAACAACAGTGAGGGAGAGTGAATAAAAGTATAAAGAGGGGCTGTGAGAGAAACAATAGGAGACTGTAGCAAAACAGACAAGCAGAGTGCTATTTAAAAGACAGGAGGGTAAAAAGAGAGAGAAAAGCAAGACAGACAAACAGAAAGAAAAGATTAACAATTAACGAACAGAAGAAGCGGTCTTTAAAAAGAAAGAGGAAAACATGAGAATAAAAGAGGGACGAACTGTCAACAAGAGAGAGACAAAGAGGGGGAGAGAGAGCAGAAAAGAGAGAATTAACGACTAACAGTGAAATAACTAAATAATATGACCTTTAAAAGAGAAAGTGAAACAGAGAGAGAGAGAGAGAGAGAGAGAGAGAGAGGGAGTAGCAGAAAAAGAGATAAACAGAGACTGGGAGTGGGACGGGGAATAAAGACTTAAATTTGAAGAAAAAAAATAGCAGTTAAAAGAAAGAGAGAGCAAGAGAATGAACAAACAAACAAACTTTTTTTTTAGAGGGTAGAGAGAGAGAGAGAAAGAGAGAAAGAGAGAGAGAGATTTAGAGAGAGAGAAATTGACAGTCACAGAATCTTTAAAAGTGTCAGTTATCAGAAAGAGAAGGAGATTGTAGTTTTACTAGACAATTTAATGTTCAGTAGTTTGCCAGTGCTTTCTGAATGCTTGGTTCTCCATACCATTATTGAATTTATGTAAAGTTGGTCTGCTTTGTAACTGCCATGTACTCTAATATAATGGTTACATACAGTTGATTTGGGTTTCTGGGATTTGCACCTGTTCTTTTTGTATCCTAAAAGTGGCTATTTGAGTCACTGGATTTTAATATTTAAGGCTGCAATTCCAGGAAAACTTAAACAAACATACAGACATGACTTTTCACTGACACCGTATTCATTGGTCACGGATTCGGGTCCTGATAGAGTTGGACGTTTCCTTTTTTTTTAAACGACTCTGGCACCCAGGTTGACCCAGCCTTGATTTGGTAACCAGGTATAATCATTGAAAGTAGAGGTGGATTAACACATCACCCCTCCCCCTATAAAATATAGGTCTAGCCCTACATGCCCAACACGCCTTAAAGCCTGGAAAAGGGTCCTTTACTTAAGTTTACTGTATTCACTCATGTGTAACTTACCATGGGCTGTAACTAGCATAGCTTCCTGTGACAGCAAGTTGTTTCCCTTAGTGTTCATTGAAGAGCTGAAGCCGATGTTGTAGGCAATCTGAGCATCTTCTAAGAACAAGCAAGGACTAATGAGTACAAAACATCAGACAGATAATGGTTTTTAATATTACCAACATGCATAACTGACAATTCTACTGACATGCACTACTGACAATTCTACTGACATGCACTACTGACAATTCTACTGACATGCATTACTGACAATTCTAATGACATTGCATTACTGACAATTCTACTGACATGCATCAATTGACAATTCTACTGACATGCATTACTGACAATTCTACTGACATGCATTAATTGAAAATTCTACTGACATGCATTACTGACAATTCTAATGACTTGCATTACTGACAATTCTACTGACATGCATCAATTGACAATTCTACTGACATGCATTACTAACAATTCTACTGACATGCATTAATTGAAAATTCTACTGACATGCATTAACTGGCAATTCTACTGACATGCATTAATTGACATTCCACTGACTTGCATTACTGACAATTCTAATGAGATGCATTACTGACAATTCTAATGACATAAATTACTGGCAATTCTACTGACTTGCATTACTGACAATTCTAATGATATGCATTACTGACAATTCTAATGACATGTATTACTGACAATTCTAATTACATGCACTACTGGCAATTATACTGACGTGCATTACTGACAATTCTACTGACATGCATTACTGACAAGCATTACTAACAATTCTACTGACATGCATTAATTGACAATTCTACTGACTTGCATTACTTACAATTCTAATGACATGCATTACTGACAATTCTAATGACATGTATTACTGACAATTCTAATTTCATGCACTACTGGCCATTCTACTGACGTGCATTACTGACAATTCTACTCAAATATTACTAGTGAAAAGTGATGACTATAAATAAACATTCTTGACCACATTGCAGACAAAGGAGGTGAAGCCAGACAATATTGTCAGGTAAAAGGTCAAAAGACAGATGTACAACTATGGGGTTTATTTTTGCAACAAACATATATAATCATGGGATTGATATTTAAAACAAATTGCACAGTCATGGGATAAATATTTAAAATAAACATAGAGACCTGTGGGATTATTATTTAAAACAAAACTACATCATGGGATTAATATGTACAATCTTTGGATTAATATTTAAAATAAACATGTATCAATATGTATAATCATGGGATTAATATTTAAAACAAATATGTTTAATCATGGAATCCAATAGTAAAATAATGGGATTGATATTTAAAACATACATCTACAGTCACATGATATTTAAAACATACCTATACAATCATAGGGTTGATATTTGAAATATACATATACAATCATGGGACTGATATTTAAAACAAACATATACAATCATGGGATTCATATTTAAAAGAAACATACTGTTCCCTGAGCAGATGCCTCCACTTGAATACTTCCGAGGCCCAGCAATGTAAGCGAGGCCCAGGACTCCCTCAGAGAAACGCCTGAAGGTGAACAGATGAGCCAGGCAAAACTTGCTCGCATCAGGGTCCCGTCCAAATTGCTGAAATGAAGTATAAATAATGTGGCTAGAAACAATATACAGCATGATTTATTGTCTGGCTCCTTGAGTCGATTCTTAACCCCATTATGGGTGGAAAAAAGAATAGATTCACTGCGCCATAACAATTATGTCAGGAACGGTGACTAATCAGGAACGTTTCCTTTGTAATCAAGTGCATCTGCCTCAGAGGCGAGAAACCAACAGTCTAGAGTCTGCCAGACCAGTAAAACGGACATGCATGCAAAGCTTAAGTTTTGGAAAAAAGCTAGTCCAGAAGTGGATGAACCACAATAATTTTCTGCCAGAGTTTACAACCAGTGAACGCTAAAAAGAAGAGGAAGAGATTGCCTGGCATATTTTACTGTCTCGCCAGGTACATTACTGCAGAGTTAAACAAACATATAATGAAGCATGAAAAGCTACATTCTGTCCACTGAAATCCACGAATCACATTGTTTCTAAAAACACAGCACATCTGAAAGAGATTCATTTTCAAAACTCACTTCCAGAAACTCGTAATAAGGCCAATGGGTGCCCCCATCATACATGTTGTAGTGCTGGCCGTTGCGGTGATAGCTGCTGGAATCTGTCAGTTCTGTGTGGATCCTCAACTGTGGAGAAACATTCAGATAAATCACTAAACAAGAAATGACCTAACAAGATGCCCAAACAGTTTGATATTTCATCCTCAGCTTGATGTCTTCGAGAACATTGTAAACTCACACCAAGTTATAGCAAGTGTCACCATCAAGTGCAGGAACATCAACTGTTCCTTCTTATGGGCTAAGATGAGACAGTTGAGAACTCACATTGGTGCACTCAGAATTTCTATATAAAGAGAACTGTTTAGTCTCTAGTATCTAATAAACTTTACCAGAAATATTTTTTTTGCTTTTAGTGCCTTAATTATGTGATATAACTTAAATAAATACATGCTTACTGTGCATTAACAAATTAAGTTAAGAACCTCATCACAGCACTCAGGACATTGTCATAAGTGCTCCATCCTTATTTTCAGCAGCCAGCAGGTGTTCCAGTTTAATGGCACTAGTAGCTGCTAGTATATATGTCTGTCTTGTCTCTCCTTTGAGTGTAGAGTGTCAGTTAGATTTCCTGGTCTCACTTCTCATTCTACCATTCACTCTTTGAGTCACAAGGAAGACATGACACGCTATCTGGTAACCACCAGGGGGCCCAATCAGCGCATGATGCATACAGGTTTTAATTTACCACTGACCGGTATAAAAAGTAAACTGGATAATTTAAACATCCTTTGCGGCTCTTTGTATTCAATAATACATGTGTTTACCATTAAGTTTATTCAGAAACATGGTTAAAACCCTAAAATATAGTATATTTGTGAAGATTAACGAGTTATTCGTTTTTTTTTTTTTTAAAACAATATGGCTGCCGAGCAGTCTTCTACATGTAAGCCAAAATGATTCACGACTTTAGAAGCCTCAAATTTAAAAAACAAAAACGTGTTTATCAGATTTATCTGACATTAGATGAAGAAATATGCAAAGCAGACTCATTTCAGTCATTTACAGATTCAAAAGGGTATAACGATAGCAAAGTCGGCTGGTACAAATAAAATAAGTATTAGTGAAAATTGATTTTCTTCAGTGTCAGTTAGTTCTAGTGCTATTCCCCTTTTTATTTAATAACATAGCTACAACATTACAGGCAAATGGAGTGTTCTATAAAGTTTGTTTTGTGTGAAGATACTAATTGTTTTTGGAAGTCATTGCTTTTTACCAAAAATGGTGCTCTGTTATGGTGTTTCAAGTTTCTCAGGAATGAGACCTAATGCACAGATTGTTTATATTTTTTTTTTATACATTACTAAGTGGTTCACAATCATTTGTGATTAGTTTTGGATATACTTTAAAGAGTTTTCCTTGAACACCATGGTGGTAAGTGGACAAATTATTATTTTATTTTTACTAATTTCTCTAAACATCTTGTCTGTTTATTTACTAATATTTAACTACTAACCCAATTTAATTATTGTAGCAGTATTCTAATATTATTCCTCAACAAACCCTGGTGACTTTGACATAGAATATATGTATGTTGCATGGCAGCTGAATAAGTATAGTATGTGTTTATGTGTTACACTTGATACATTTCAAAATTACATTACCACCCCTTAAGCCTCTGATGCTAAACCCACTGAGACTCAAAAATGTAATGACCCACTCATGCTTCTGCATTATCAATTGCACTCAAAGGGCCTTGCTTGCACCTAGCTTGTCATGTATCAAGTATGGGTTCTGCTGCCCATTTTGAGGGGAAAAATAGACCCCTTGCAAACCACGGCTCAACATGCCATCTGCCATGCTCAGGGCAAATGCAGAAGACAAAGAAGAATTTACCATTAAGTGGTGCTGAGCCAGTCAATCTGTTTATTTCCTAAGCTATTTTCATTACCTGGAGAGAGGATCCAAAGGAGATGTTCCAACTCATGATGCTTGACAGCAAAAGTTGAAGATGATGATTAATATGTTATCTTATTACAACTGTTGTCACTTCACTGCAGACTGCGCATTCCTATGGGTGCCCAATCCTCCCATGCAGCAGCCACTCCAAGGTACCAATACTGATTGTTCCCATGAGGAGCTAGTCATAATGTTTTCCATGGTGGTCTCAAAGGCAGCATTGATGTGCTTCACCATGATTTACTCCCATGTCATGCAGTCGTGTTAGTGTCAGAAATTTGTCATTATCAACTAACCTAGTCAGTAAAGTGCTGACATTATTTACTAAGTATTTACGATGTATCTAGAATTCACCACCAAATATTAAAAGTGATTGTTTGTAACAAGCAAGAATCACACCTCTTTAATCTGAAGTCCCAAGCCAGCAAGCCCCGACTCTTGATTCCACAGTGTGCGCCTGTAGATGGTGTTGACCCGCTGCAGAATTTGAATCTGCAACATATCAACAGGTTTAAAGAAACATTATAAGTAAAGAAAGTAACGGACCCTTCTCCCCGCCTTTAAGTGTATACGGAATATAGAGGTAGACCTATTTTTTATAGACCAATGGGCACAAGATGAGTCTAGGACTGCACCTGGTACCCATTCAAGGCTGGGTCGACCTGGGAGCCAAGGATATGTTTGAAAAAAGTTCGGGCTCCACCAGGGAGCGAACCCATAACCTTCTGATCTGCGGCGCACATCTATCCGCTCAGCCACAGCCAACAAACATTATGATGCTGCCATATTTCTCTCATCCTAAGATGAACGTCGACAAAAGAGGCCAAAGGTGCTGGACTTAATTCATCCACGATAACGAAATAGAACAGGATAGAACAGAACAATCAAAAGTGACCTTTATGTGACCTGACATGGCACAACAGGATCTTCTTCTTCATGTTCACCAGCTATAAACTCCAGCAGAAAGTTATGGTTGTTCATCCATTTCTGAATTTAAGCCTTGTTCCAAAACTTGATTATTGCATTCATATCCATTTAACAAATGGATAGACCA